TGAAGACAGAGTGAGAAAACTTACATTAAGATTAAGGGATTCCTTACCTAACCGTCAACTCCTCTGGGCACCAGAGACCTCCATCCCAGCCTGGGCTCTGCTTGGGTGGACAAATAGGACCCCTGCTTTCCTGAAGGAGACCACTCTAGCCAGGGCCCTCGGCTTCCCGTTCTGTGAGACACTGAGTCATTTCCTCTCTCCAGCTCTCACCTTTGAGCCTTCCTTTTCCCTTCTCTGGAGCAGTGACTCACTGCTGAAGTGTTGGGTGACAATGAATATCAAGGATGGGCGATAAAAACACTCTTGATTGTGCAACTTGAGGATGCGGGGATGTATTTTGGACGGGGAATTCAATGGGCTGGCCATGAACTCGAGGCTGGGGAGTCAACAATGAGCATGGCTTCATCTCTTTGGGGAAGTGGAGCAGAGAATGGAGTTCAAACACGTTCACTGAGCTGGATTTGCTGTGGAGCACCTTGTTTTACCCTTTCAAACGTGTATTTCTGAGAAAGGCAAATAAAGGCAGGCACTCAGCACGACACACGTACATCACAGAGGTCTGGGTCTGTCTCAGCTCTGTGGGGCCTGGCAGAGACCCTGAGAGCAGACCTCTTTCTTTCTGGGCTTTTCTCTCGAGTGAAAAAACGATACTTCCCGAGCTTGGGAGGGATGAGGGAAGACAATGTGACAGATGCAGGCTCCGGGCTGGCCACTGCATTGATGCCATAGACCTCTCAGAACAGGGTTACTGAAGACCGCCCTGCGTGTGAGCAGCAATAGCAACAGCCCAGCTATTTTCCCAGATGGAAACACACCTTCTTTCACCCAGCTCACTGGATGCAAACTAGGTATTTTCTTCTCCTAATGAACATTCATGGCTTTGAGGATGAGCAAAACAAAACACATTTTTTCCTAAAGGATGACTCCCTAGTCAGGTCACAAGCTATTCAAGATTCGGGAAGAGAGGCAGCAAGGTCACCCCACCCAGGAGGCCAAACAAATGGGAGCAGAAACACCCATAAAAGTGGAGAGAATTTATGTGTGGGTATGTGTGTCCGTGCTGGAGGGAGGGTGCAGCTGAGAATGTCACAACAGAATTCAAAACTTTAATTCTCTGGGAAATTAAGGCAAAAAGAAAAAAAACACCTTAAAAACTATTGGTGCAAGTCCAGACGACCAAGAAACTTGGATCAGCAAGGATAGTTTGCTTTTTAAAGGTGCCTCAACTACAAAGAGTTTTTCCCACGGCCAGAACCTGTGTATACACACATATCTGAATCCCTCTCTGGGAGAATATTGATCTACAGGCTCCCAAAAGGTCCCCCCACCTCAGTCAGTGAGTCGCTGGCAGAGGGAGAGGGGGAGGTCCTGGGACACTGCTGCAGGTTCCCGGCATCAGAGTAACAGTTAATAGAAAGCAAACGTCCCCACATGATGCACCGGACACTCACATCCTCTGAAACACTGTAGGAGGCTGGGAGCTAAGGCCAGACTCTGTAGAACTGCATGTTTAACGGTAGAACTGCATGTTTAACCGGCAACCTCAGACAGGGAAGATGCCCAGTGACTTTCCCCCCCAGGTTTGTCTCTATTCCTTAGTGGACTCTCCTTAGTGGCACAAAGGAACTATTCAACATGCTTCCTAAACTCACTCGGGCAGGCAGTGGGAAGGAATGTGCCAGCCAAGCCCAAGGAGGCTTTTCTCCACTGATCACCTTGGGGAAAGGCAGATATAAACTCCACGGCAGGAACGCAAGGTGTGAAATGCTGGAAGGAGCCCCTTTCCGGGAGGGCGGGGGAGGGGGGGGTGGCAAGGGCTAGTGGGAGAGGAGCAGGTTGCCCAGGGGGGTCTGCCTCTCTGGGAAGCAGGAAGTAAGGCCTCAAGGAAGAAAGAAATCCCTAACCTCTGAGGTGGTAGAGGGGCCACAGATAGGGTTGGTTTTGTTTCTGAGCATGAAGAAAAGGCTCTGTGTCAAAAAGTAGCTCTGGTATAAATAAGCCAATTATGACATAGACACAGCTCGTTATTTCTGGGATTTGGAAGCAGGAGCCTGATGGAATGTCCTCTCCAGGGTTAAATATGCAGAGTACGCTTCTAACTCCAGGATTTAGCCTTGCCCTGGATGTCATGTGAAAGGTCTCTCTTTGTGCTCCAACTAGTTAGATAAGAACCACCAGTGAGGGTTACCACCTCAGAGACAGTCTTGTGTGTCCCTCACGGAATCCCCACTCATGGGGTGAGGACGATCACACTGTATTAATGGCTAATAGCCCGCCATAAGCTCCACCCTGATATAACCGTGAGCAAGTTGCTCATTAGCCTCTATTACCTCAAGTTTCCTCATCTATAAGATTATCTACTTCTTAGAGTGACTATGAGGATGAGCTAAATTCAGATGCTACAAAGCACTTGGAACATCACGTGGCACATACAAGGTGTGACTGAAGTGTTAGTTGCTATTGAGGCATGAAAACAGCAAGTACCTGATTCCCCAGGTAGGCCAGGGCCCAGCTGCCAATGTCGGGCTCCATCAGCTCCTCTGCACTGCGGCTTCCTCAGGCCTCATTCAGACCCGGGAAGCCCATGCATCTGAATGCCCAGCTCAGAGGGCCAGACTAAAGGGAAATCAGACCTGTAGGCACAAAAAGGTCCCTGCTGGCTGCTCCCCCCTCCTCCCAGGGAGGAGCAAACACTGGTGCCAGCACGTTTGGGATTGGCTTTCTCAGTTGCAAGCCATGTGGTTTATCTGAAATGGGGTCAAGTCCCAGAGTGGGAAGCACAATATTACAACTGTGCTTGCTTATCTGAATCAAGTCCATCATCGCTGATCATGAGATAACAGGGAGCCAGAGTCTTGAGAGACTTGAGGGGTGTGTTGGAAAATATTCTTGGCAAAGGAGGAGGAACCATTTCTCAACCAATTGTTAACAAATTAGTAACCGGCACTGAGAACCTCAGAGGAAAGGTTCCGATTCCCTCCAAACTGCAGATTCTGGAACTTGGGAGACCTGACTGGGTACCTGAGCTGCAGGAAAGGGAGATACCAGAGGGCTGGCACCTCTGGTCTATTCCTACCCATCTCTATGTAGCTCAGGTCAAAGGGTGGAGGCTGCAGCCTCTGTCTTGTATCTGCAGACAGCCCTCGGACCAGATCTGATGCCCACTGCCCAGTCTGAAGGAGCGGTATGTATGCATCTAGAAACCCAGAGACTTGTGCCTCCCTGCAATGTCCGGGGGCCACACCAGCTGGAAGTATGCCCAAGACGGGAAGTGAGACCTCGGACCTATATCAGCTATACAAGAGGGGCAAGTGGGGTGTCTCCACAGGAGTCCCTGCCCTTCTGCCTAGAAAGCTGAACCTTCCAGAGGTGGAAGGGCCATCAGGGCTAAGACTGTTTGCAAGTTATAGGCAAACTACTTGAGCCTTTAAGCCTCCAAGTACCTCCAGGCCTATCACCAGGGCTTGGGGGCCTAGAAGCCAAGCTCAGGGCACAAGGAGTGTGGCCTGGGAAAGGGTCCAGATTCACAGGTGGAGAGGCTCCAGATGCCACACAACCCAGCCTGGCCATCTGCTGCTGCCAAGGAAAGATCATGATGCCTCAAGCCAGCTACTTCAGGGTAAGTGGCTGGAGAAACCTACTGCTGGAGTTGAAAACTGCTCTGAGGAAGCAGTGGAGGCTTCTCTTGGCACTTGCCAAAGTGCTCAATTCTCATGGCTTCTGCACGGTGAGCCCCCTTGGGCAGGCCTGTCCCCAGAGCAACTCTCTCTACTCCACAATCTGCTCCCAGCACCAGCACTAACTTAACTAGCTCGGCCTTCCTGTTCCATCCCTGTCAGCACCTTCCCCTACTTGTTACAATTCCAGGGTGCCTTCAGGGTCCATAGCTCCTGTTCTTCCTCCTCTGAGAAGCCCTCCCTAACTACTCCTGATCATGCTGACTTGTCTTTTCTGCAGGGTATTAAATCCCTACCACTCCCGGGGCTTGTGGATGAGCATCTGGAGCTAGAATAGAAAGGAGCTATTTCTAAAAAATTGCACAGACAGCCAGACTCACACCAATTAGCTAATTAATTAATTTAATTGTTCACGTGTCCCTAAAAGAGTCTGCACCCCAGATGGACCCCTGGATCTTGAGCCTGCCACACAGCAAGTGTGTAATAAAGACTTTTGAGAAGGAGGACAGATTACACTGGTCTTGCAGGAGTAAGCTGCTTCCTTTTTAGTTCAGAGCACAGCAACTTCCTCCCTGGCAGGCCAGGTTCCTGCTCTGGCCTGCCAGCTCCCAGGTATCCCCTGCCAGCAGCTATTCCCTAGAGCTGCCCTGGGACTAAGAGCAGAGGGGGATGCCCAGCTCCAGCCCTATCCACCATTTGTCCCCTCTCAGAGGAAAAGAGGTCAGCAGGCAACGGATCCGACCTTGGGGTGGCCACAGTCTCTCCCAAGGGCTATGGAGGCCCCTGGATAGGCAGCAGAGGCCTGCAAGGGACTTCCCTTCCCTGCCCTGGGCCCCATGGAAGGCAGGCAGGAAGAAGGGCCTCAGTAGCAGGCGTCCAGTATGGGGCTGGCCAGACAGTGAGGCCCCTGGGGTTGCAGCTATCAGCCGGAGACCAGGCTCCAGGAAGGAAGGAAGGGCAACTCTGGTCGAGGCTGAGATAAGGGGGAGCCGTGCTCAGCACAATGGGCTCCCACAAGGCTGGGAGGCCCCAACTCAGATTTTGCCCCAATTTGGCCTCCCGTCTGCTCACACAGCCCATATAAATATTTACTAATGTTTATATTCCTGCTCTGCTGGGTCCCCCCTGAGGCCCTTTCCTATCTATGACCCACAGATCCGTATTCCCCAGACCCTGGGCCCATCCAGCAAGGGCTATCAGCATTGTTCTCTCTCAGGCAAGCCACAGAAACAGGCCCTTCAGGACAAAACTGTCCCCTTGTCCCAGCCCTGGGACATTGCTAACAGGTAGCTGTACTAAGCCCCGCTGTGGTAGGGAACTTACGGGGCCCGGTCATGGGTGAGGCCATTCTGTCGCTGGGGGTTGATTGGTGGAAGGACGGGTTTGCTGTTGATCTCAAGTCCTCTCCTCAGGGTCTCCCGGATCTGCTCCGTGTCTGCAACAACACCACTAAGTTGTCTAGTGGTCCTTTGGACTCCCAGCATCCCCCAACCCGGCCCTTGGAACCTGGTTCTGTAGACATGCTGGGGAAAGGCCCCCAGGAAGGCCTCCTGAGCCTGCTCTAGGCATCAGCTGCGAGATCTGAGTGGGTGCAGCTTGAGGACACAGGGCTGACAAGGCATCATGTTCTCAAGAAACTTTTGGTCTGAAGAGGCCATTCTTGTAGAAGACAGGGAGGGCTCTTCTCCACTGTCCTTTCCCTTCCTGAAGTCAGGCGCCAGCTCTAACTTTAACACAGTTCCAGGCAGTGACTCCCCAGACCATCCACAGATTCTGCCCACTGAAATGGGTGCCCGTAAAGGCTGTAAGTGCCCTGCCATGAACGGTAAGGTGTCTCTTACACACATTTCTGGATTCCGAGTGGCCAGCTGGTATGTGGTCCTGCTACTCCTTCCCTGTGGGCTGGGTCAGTGAGATGCTGAGGTCATCTCCCCTTGGCCCAGGTACCCTGCCTCTCCATGAGTCTGGCAAAGGCCAAGAGATGAGAAAGGAGTCCCGGGTGGGATTATTTCTTTGCAAGTTGCTTTGCTGGTCTTTGGGTGAAGCCTACTAGTCTGATCCCCTATATTGATATTCTGGCCTAAGTCTTACCTCCACAAACTACAAACACATACAGAAAAGCAAATTAACATTGGCTGCTCAAAGGATGGGCTTGGAATGGATGATGGAGGTGATGATTAACTTTTCTAATTGTTTGACTTGTTATAGTAGCATGGATTACTTTTATAATTTAAAAAAATATCCAATGATGGTGAAATTTTGGACAAGATTATGAATTCCTCCTTAAATTACCTCTTTTGTCAAAAGTACTGAATGATTCCAGTAATTGTATATGTTCTCTTGAAACCTCCCATGCGTTTGACACAGATATTGGGTCAGATATTCGTGTTAGGGTTTTAAGTTGTCCTTTATGGGAAGAAAACCTTTCGTAAGTGCTATCACATATGTAGGCATTTTATTCAGGACTATGGGTATCTTATTCTTCAAAAAAAATGAAGAAAAATGGAGGAATAGAGAAAAGAAGCAGAAAAAGAAGCTGTATATTTGTAAATGGCTGCTTTTCTTTTGGAGTTAGTTATGGATGCTCTTTGCTAAAAACCACAACTGTTTCTATAGCCAAGACCAACATGACGAGCTTCCAACAAGAGAGCCATATCCTCCTCCTCCATGGCCTCACCTGGAATGTAATGGGCACAGGGTCCCCTGCCCACAGTCCCTAGCACTGTATCTGCAGGACGGTGGGGCAGGGAAGCTTGCAAGCTGGCCTCACACTCAGGCTTCTTTTGTCTAAGGCCTGAGGCCAGAGTGATCCTCGGTCTGGCATGGTTTTCAGGCCAGAGCTGGGCCCTGAGTCAATTCCATGGGTGGCCGATGCTTGTTCTCTTGTACTTGGGTGGACTGTGGCCTTTTCCTGTAACTGTTCTACGGCTTCCACTCACCTCCATGACCTCAGATTGCAAGGGATAAATCTAAAACACAATGGTCACTGCTGGTGGTACATTTGAAATACACACAAAGGGAACAGGAGAAATGGGTCAGCAAAGCTCCCTTAATCCCACCCTGCTGGAAGACTTCACATGCTGTTTAAATCCTGCCAGGAAAGAAACTATTGAAGGGGCTGTTTATGTCAGAGACCCATCCTACAGAGCCTGAAAACCAGGCCTGGGGAAAGAGGAGAAGGAAGGCTGGGTGAGAGCTCCTACCTTTGCCAGAGAGCCGCCGGGGCTGTGTGCCTATGCAGATGCTTCGGCTGTCTTCGTCATCCTCAGGGGGCCGGCTCAGGTCATCCCAGGCACACTTGGCACTGACACCACTTAGATTGGAACCGTCCGTCTCGATGCCTTTGTCAACTCTCTCCTGCTTAGAAAGAACCAAAGAGCCAGAGTTCCTTCAGCGAACCGGTGGCCCAAGGTCAACACTGCCTTTCCAGTATTTACTGAGCCCTTGTAGGTGCTGAGCACAGGACAAGTGCTAGAAGAGCAGGATCTCTGGCTATAACACATAGCAGTCTCTGCCAGCCACAGGACTCCTCTAGGGGAACCCGGGATTAGGGGAAGCCAGGAAGAAGAAAAATCCCAAGGGAAGCTTCTCTTCTATCATCAACTTTCAGTAAAAAGACCTTTACACCTGTTTCAAAGCCTCGGCTCTGCTCAACCCATGCAGGCCTGTGTTGCTAATGTGGCAGAACCAGGAACTATTTCCCTAAGGAAAAGCACAGTCCTTCCTCTCCTCCCATCATCCAGGAAGAACCTCCTCAGTTGGCTACTACAAAGAACGAGATGGAAGCTGGCACCGGTGGGAGAGGCCAGGACTCAGACCAGCTTCTCCCTGGCTCCACATCTGCAGTTTCTTCTTCTAACAGCAGGGGGAGTGGTCACCGTGAAGCACCACCACAGAGCAGAAGGGCAGGACTTCCTGCACGGCTAACTTGTTTGACAAAGGACTCCGGGTGAAGTTTATTTCCATTTCTTGGAATGAAATGGCTGCCTGGAGGTCAGTGACCGCCTGCAGCCCTCACCTGAGGCTCTGCCTTCGTGCAGGCCTTGCACTGTTGAGTACAAACACCCTCCAAATGGCCTTGAGGAAGACCAAACACCCCACCGCTGGGGTTTCTGGTAAAACACAGTTTTGTGAGGTTGGGCTTTGGATTAAAGGTCATCTGGAAGGCTCTAATAATCTCGCTCATAAACAACCATGTGGGCCAAACAAAGCTCCTGAGTGAGCACCCCAATAAGTCTGCACGCCCTTCTCTCCAGGCCTCCACAAGCACCATCTGGCTGCTGATGGGCCAGGGAGCCTAACTTGGGAAGCACAAGGTAAGCTTACATACTAGTAAGGTCCTTTTTCTTGAGACTAGGCCAGGGGTGGGCAAACTTTTTGACTCGAGGGCCACAATGGGTTCTTAAACTGGACCGGAGGGCCGGAACAAAAGCATGGATGGAGTGTTTGTGTGAACTAATATAAATTCAAAGTAAACATCATTACATAAAAGAGTACTGTCTTTTTTTTTTTTAGTTTTATTCATTTCAAAGCGGGCCATAGTTTGCCTACGGCTGGCCTAAGCCTTGCTCTGTATGCCTCCCTCTCATCAATCACACTCTCCTCCTTTCCAGTGCTACCACTAGCCTGGGCAAAGCTGGGCTTCTCAGCAGTGACAGGGACCGGCTGATGAAAGGGAGCAGCTCTGTGCTCCAGGCAGAAGCATGTGGGCCCTAGTTTGCTTAGGGTAGAGTCTGACTTTTCCCCTCTCTCCAGTGGCCATCCTAAAGCCCCTTACTGATGCAAAAAGCTAAGAATACCTCTTGGCTCAACTAGCTAAGACCACTGACGTTATAAGTAAAAAAGAAAGAGTTAAGACCTAGAGAAGTTAAGGGACTTGTTTAGGCACACACCTAGCCAGTGGTAGCGCTTGGAGCAAAGGAACAGGAGCCAACCTAAAATGAACCACTTGCAAGCAGGCCCAGACTGGCACACATGAGCACAGAGGAGTTCCCACTTGGCACAGAGTCACCAGGAAAAAAAGCTGGACTTTCTCATCAAGGTCTGCCTGCTTACTTTTATTATTATTTTTTAATCCTCACCAGAGGATATTTTTCCATTGATTATTAGAGAGAGTGGAAGAGAGAGGGAAAGACGGAGAGAAATATTGATGTGAGAAAAGCACATCGATTAGTTGCTTCCTGCATGAGTCCTGACCAGGGTCCAGGCCAGGGAGGAGCCTGCAACCAAGGTACACGCCCTTGACCGGAATCAAACCTGGGATCCTTCAGTCCGCAGGCCAATGCTCTATCCACTGTTCCAAACCATCTAGGGCTGCCTGCTTACTTATAAAGACGACTAGGGCCTGGCCGGTGTGGCTCAGTGGTTGAGCACTGACGTATAAACCAGAAGAGTCATGGTTTGATTCCTAGTCAGGGTACATGCCCAGGTTGTGAGCTCCATCCCCAGTGTGGTGCATGCAGAAGGCAGCCGATCAATGTTTCTCTCATCACTGATGTTTCTTTCTCTTCCTCTCCCTTCCTCTCTAAAATCAGTAAATATATATATATTTTAAAAAAACACAAACAACCCCTTAGCCTAGGTACTCTTGGTCCTGCTAGCTGGTTGCAGGGGAGCCTAAAGATTAGGAAGAGAACTATTCTTGGCATGCAGGAAATGATAGGCTGCTTATTACCCTATCAGTTCAAAGGACCAGGTTCTTTCTCAATACTTGGCACTCATGAAGGGGGTAAAACAACAGCCCACAGTGTCCCATGCTGGATCCCAGTGTGGCTGTAGTACACGGGTTTAGGGAAACATACCCTTAGTGGTTCCTGGTTCTTGCATAAGCAGAAGTTACAAGGAAACCAAGTTTAAAGTAGAGATAACAGAGGATCCTGGCAGCAATTTGAAAACTTCAGTGTTAAAGGCACTAGGAAAATGGAGGAGCCTCATCTGTGGATGAGTAGGCTTTCTACCCAAGAACTCACAGGTCTGCAGTAAAGAAGGCAGGGACTGCTGGCTATGTGTCTGCCTCTTCCCTGCCACCTCTTATCCCTCCTAGAGGACATGTAAATCCTGCAGCTGCCTGTGTCCTACCAGATTTTCACAGAAGCAATGACCTGCAACTGGCCGGGGCAAAGTAGAGGCAGACACATGCCAGGCACATTACAGCTATCTGCTGCTCCTGCTTCATAAGCAACCAGTAAGAAAGGAAGTTATGCTCTATGTGGCTTTCAAAATTCACCTGCCTGCAAAAAAGAGTGCTTCTTCTAAAAAAATCAAAGATGACACTGAAACTCTATACAGCCAGGCCATATGAGTGGCAACTGCAGGCCTATGTGTATGAAGACTTCCTTTACACATCAAGAAATTCCAGCCTACCCAGGGAAGGAGCTTGGTATCTGACTGGTCAAGATGAAAATGTATCTAGAAAGGGTAAGACCATTAGACCAATCAGGACTCCCCACTGCGACATGGCTGTGACATCACCGATTCTGTCTGTTTTAGGATATTGGTGACAGTGGTGGCATGGCTCCCTCAAAGAAAGTCTATGTTCTTTATAGAAGGGGGAAGTGGGAGGGTGAATACTGAGCTAGCAATATCCACTATACTGATTTAGTTGCTAGCCATCATATTTTTGAACATTAGGCTTATTGATATCTGATTTGCATACAATAAAATATCCTTTTAAAATGCAAAAATACATGTGTCTGAGACCAGTTTTCCTGGTCTGAAATCTCTGTTCCCTTATGCACTCTGCAGAATTCAGGGGACAAGTTCCAAATCATGCCATATGTCTACTCACTCACAAATAACGCTCCTTGTTTTCCCAGGATGAAAGCCAGTGTTATTTGGAAGAGGCCTAGGCACAGTGTGCTAGAAAGGTTTTCCTCACTCAAGACATACTTGCAGGTGTGGATCGATCTCAAATATGGTCTCTCCCCTCCGCATGTCAGTTATCAGCCAGGGGCCGCCAGCGCTGTGGATAAAGAAAGGGGGCAGGAGGGTCTGGGCTGGGCCTACAGCCTGCCCTGCTTGCTGCCCCAGGCCCAGAACACAAGGGAGTGGTCACTGGTTGGGGCCACCAGGGAGCAAGTTGTCAGGAAGCCCTGATGTGAAAAGCCAGTGCCTGAACAGCCATGTAAGGGGAAGCCCACATGTGGGGGAAGAAGGGAGTCCCACCCCAGGCTTGGGAAGCCAGGCACCCACCTCATAGGGAGGGGATGTACTCACATGGGCACCATCCGCAGCAGCTCCAGGATACCCTGCCCATTCCACTGCTGGGCTGCATGGAGTTCCTCAGTGCAGACACCAACGATCTGGGACCCAGAGACAAGATGCCATAGTGTGTTAATGGCTATTCCTCCCACCCATCCAGAAGGTCAGCCACCCAGACTCTGTCAGTGTCACTTCAAGTGATGGGACTACAGGCAGCATCTGTGCTCAGAAGCTAGTGCATCCAAAATGGGATGGTTCCCTCAGGAGGAAATAGTTGCCTGGCCAGGATGGGTCCACAGATGTGGCACTGATGGCTGATTCTTGCCCTGCTGTGATAGGCCAGGTATCTGGTGACACAAAGTCAAGTCCTTGACTGCAGAGAAAATCAGGGCCCTGCCAACTCAGGATGTCCCTAGAAGTGGTGGAGGTTCTGCCCAATCTAGGATCATGGGGAATGCAAATAGGAGATTTTGGAACTTTTCAAGCTCGAAACAACCACCAAAGGGCCCAGCAGATGGCAGAGGAGCTCCCTTCCTCATCAGGGGCTAAGCCTTTGGTCAATCTCAAGAGAAACAACTGAATCTTCACGCAGACCCATCAGGATCACAAAGAGGCCCTCCGCAGCTGGGGTGGAT